GGAATTTTAACTGCTTGTGACTCCCACAAGGGACAGCAGTAACACACTTCCATCACCAGAGGATCACCACATCATCTATCTGCACAGACACTTATTTTTTTGTGGTAAAGATTTCAAACCTCCTCAAAGAGTTAACCTAAATTCTGGGCATAGGTCTCTCTATGCCAAAGCCAAAATCCTGAAGATCATGGTACACAATCTTCTAGCAATCCCCCACTGCAGAGATTAAAACATGCCAATGCTGTGCATGACACAAGGCCCAGGATGGTGCAACATGCTGTTTCTGCTCAGACTCATGAATTTTAACTGCAGGCTGACACAAACCAAACTCATTAGAACTTGTTAGTAAGAGAGAAAAACGGTGTAAGTCCCAGAAGATGTAATCTCTCCTCAGCACAACGTTTTTGTTCGTTTTTAGTACCATGCATAGGAATGGTGTGAAGAACATTCCATGTGCCATAAATATACCCACATTAAAGAGTTAACCTCCTGTAATTTCAGAGTAAAGCATACATAAAATTAAAGCACTAACAAGGCTCTCAGGATGATGAGAAATTTAGCTGAAGACTTGTCGTTGCTGTAAATAAGGTACATACCTGCATTCCTCAACAGGAATGTTTTCTTTAGGAAGAAATAGGTTCTAATAGCTTTACAGTTCTGGCATTGCCTCAAATCAGGAATGACCACAACTCAAAGTGGCTTTTTAGTATTGCTTGGTGAGGTACAGAACATACTCATTCTCCAAACCAGACACATGCAAGCACATACACTAAACCTAAGCTCAGAAGCAGTTTGCCAAAGGAAACCAACAGCTAGAAAGGAAGAAAGAAAAAAATACCAACTCACCCACTGTACTCACTCACACAATTCCCCATTAAAGGAAATTCTTTCAGGGCCTTCTTGAGTCTTTTAATCATGTCTTGAAACTCTGGCGAGCCATTGATTCCACAGTGTTCTGGTGTGCTACAAGTTGTGCAAGCTGTGAGCAACAGTGCTGAACTCTGCACAGAGTGATACACCTACTGCACCTTAATGTTTACCTTAGGGGGTTGGGCCCGAGGCTTTGCCAAAGAGCCCCAGGAGTCACTCAGCCCCAGCCCTGCCTGCTTAACTCTTCACTGCCTCCTGAGCCAGGCACACTCCACAAGCTGCTACATCACTGTTTAGGTATGACAGCTATGGCCTTAGTCATGGTTCTTACTTAAGGAAGAGCATGTTCAAGTTTCAAGAGGAGTTGTCGGAGTTTGGATTAACTTACTGTTAAAAGTGAGGGAATCTCTCAAATCTGTACTCCGTGTCTCGATGGAAAACAGCTTAAACCACAGCAATCAGATGTCAGGGCATTAAACCCATGGGGAAATGCTGCCCAGGCTCTGACACTGAGGAGGGAGAACTGCAGAGTATATGGGCACAGCACAGGGACTCAGGGGCACACACCAACCAGGACACGGGAGGAACCCACAGGGAAACCATCCCCACGCCGTGAGCTGCAAGAACCACATCCCCATTCTGCTTCATGAACTAAACAGTTAAAATGACTAGTTTTCCAGAAAAACAGAGCAGCTGACCAACAAGCAGTCCTCTGAGATTCAGACCCTTAAAGCCTGGTTTAGTGTATCTGCTTGTTGGTAGCAAGTGACACTTAAAGCTCTCTCCTTATTTGGGGTATTTATAGATATTTTGCCAGGATAGATGCTTTGATGCCTTGCATAAGAGCACATATTTAGCTTTTACCATAGTGGGTGCAGCCTCCTCTGTCCATGCCTTTTTTTCCTTTCCCTTTTTGATTTCAAAAACAAACTTCATAGGAAATTAATGAACTTGGAGAACTCTGCTCCTCCGGCACAAGTGGCTGAAACTAAACAACTCTTTGGTTAATGGAGGGATCACATTTGTTTTCCTAAGAAGCTGAGACTGTATGCAGCAAAGAAACTTGCCATAAAAACGACTGTCCTTCAGCCAACTCCCCACTGAATTCACAGCCTTGTCATTCACATGTGCACAAGCTCTAAACTGTTTTAGAAGTGTTATTTTTCTGCAGGGACAAATGCCCCTAACTCCTTCCTTCAGGCTCTCCTACTTCCCAGCTCTTGGAGGACAGCCAAAGGATGATGTGGTGTAACTTGCCTGGGTCTTTTGGGAGCAGCAGAATGCAGAAAGCTGCCTGCACAGCCTGTTAATGCTGGTGAGGACACCAGAATCACAGCTATTGTGTGACCTGTGCTCTCCTCTATTCAGAGCACGCCTGCTCAATTAGAGTGATTAATAAACAGCAATGAATATGAGGGAGATAAAGTGGAATGCTTATAAGAAGTGATTGTGAGAGTGTATTCCCGAATTAGGGTCAGATGTAGAGGTCAAGCAGAGGGAGCACAGTTCTGTGCAAGACAACACATAAATCCCAGTGGCAGAAATTAGTGACAGAAACACAGAGAAAAGCTGGTGTGGCCTTAGACCCTGTGGAGGCTCTGATTTCCTCCCTGAGTGGACAGCAGCACAGCAGCAAGCAGTGGCAGCTGCACAGCTTGAGAGGACAGAGCCTGACAAGGAAGATGACTAAAGTTTGACACACACAAAAAACCAACTGTGTAATTTGTAGATATATTTAGTTTCAAAGAGAGAGCTCAGAGCTCCCCTCAGGCCCTACACTTTTAAGCTAATAAAGGCAACATAAAGCCTAAACCGACTGAATAAAGTTGGAGGAAAAATGCAGAGAGGTTAATGGTTGTGGGGAGGTCAGAGGACACCTCACCCAGGCACTTCTCAGAACACAGACCATGTTATTCCTGAAAACCCTGAGCAGTGCCCAGGCTTGAGTGCACTCTGGGCACAGAAAATACTCCAGTGGCTCCTGCAGTTCAGTTTCTCAGCACCACCAGGAGCCAGAAAGAGCCACCAAAGAGGAAAGTGCAACAAACTTCTCCCATGACAACCTGAAATAACTAAGCCATATAGTTCATTCTTGATTATTTAGAAGGTGGCTTAGTCGTGAAGCATGAGAAATTATATTCTTCTGGTTTTTTAGATCTTGCATAACGCGATGTTTGCACGGATAAAGGGAATACATTTGATAATCCACTAAAGACATCCTGCTAAGCTCTTTAGTGTCAGTGAAACTTAAGGGCAATGAGTTCCACAGATTAACTGTGCCTTATAAAAAAGATATTTTTCTTTATCCATTTGAAATTCTCAGTCTTTCCATTTCACAGGCTGTATTAGAAGAGCTCAGAACAATAACACAAGATTTATCATTTCTTAATTTAAATTTACAAAATCATAAATGGTAAAATCCCTTCTGGTTCTTTGACAGTCCTTGGTGTTTGTGAGTTCTCACACAAAGTGTTACCAAACCATGCACATGCAGAATTTCCCATTCTGTTAGCACAGAGATATTCTAGAGAAAAATCCCACACAAGTTTTAGCTGGTGAAACAGTGGAAAAGAGATGGTTAATGCCTTTAGAAGCACTGCCAGGCACTGCTGAGTAAGGCAGATGAAGCTTGTTGATACCCAGATAAAAGCAAACCAGCACAGATTTGACAAGAAGGGACAGTTGAGCTACTTTTTCAGGGGAGAATTTCACCCGTTTCCAATAGACTTGAGCAAGAAATTCCTTTTCATCTATAACATCCTTGAATTCTCCTCATCCATTTACGTGAGCTGTACTTAGAAAGTTTTGGATTCAGGGGAGAACCTTACCCTAAGAGCTGCACTGTTGGCCCTCTGCACTGGGAAGGACTTTGTTTTAAACAGAGCCCTACTGTGACCTGAGAGATTCTGTTATCTTCCCAAGCCATTTCTGAGGCAGCTGTGGAATCTGCAGGACTGGATCAGCAACAATGCCAACCTGGAATGTGGCAATGGTGGTTATGCCTGCCTGTCTCTGGACGTAATCCTGAGCTTAATACACCACCATATTTTTGAAGAACAATAATTCACATTGTTTTTACTGTGTGATCTGTCACTGCATCCATGTTCCTCTGGACACAGAGCTCAGATCTATCGATTATGAGCTCAAATCCTTTTGAGAAAGGAAACACCATTTTAGGAACTAATTGGTCATCCCAACTTTAACTGTGAAGAAATACTTTCTTATCTAAACCAGGACAAAATGAACATCCAGGCCTCACTACTTGAAGGAGGTATTTCAGTAAACAGTGAGTTTTATCTTTCCTTCAACCAAGTCTGGCCTGAAGATCCCATAAAGGAAAGTTATAGCTGACTTGGAGCTGTGAAAGGAATCGCTTCAGTTTAACCTGTAACTGAAATGGAAATGGCTGTGCACAAATCAGCTGCACTGTGATTTAGAAAGGCACTGCCACCCAAACCAGGGAGGTTTGGTTCAGCTCTGATGTGCTGCATGAAGCCAGCCAAGGAAGCAGCAGGAGCCTGTGCTTGGAGGGAATGTCTCAATCTAAAAGCTGCTGCTGGGTATGAGCAGTGATCTCTCAATGAAGGAGAAGAGAAGTCTTTATCTTGTAAAACTCCACAGCCTTTATCTTGTGCAACTCCTATAGCAACACTCTGATCCATGAGGTAACAAAGCCTTTGCAGAACCTTTTTATTAAACCTGTGCTGCGTGGATTGCACACTGTGCTGTACCATCTCCACCAACCCCAGCGACTCAGGCCAGAAATAGCAGCATGGTATCTTTGCAGAGGTCCATTTAGGTTTTGCCTGAGAAGAACTGAGTCCTCAGAACACCTGACTGTCCTTCCCATTAGTGATCAGGCTGATGTGACTGCTCATCTTTAGCAAAAAGTAATAGAGCGACAAACTTTTGGCAAATTTAACGTATCAGTATTTGTTGGCTCCTTTTGAACAAGGGTATGTCCATCCTGGCATCCAACAGAAAAACAATCACATGGGCAAACCTAACCTGAGTTCCTCTGCATAACAGAGTTTTCAGCTTTCCAAAGAACTGAGTACTTGGCAAGTGCTGTTCAAAGGGAAAACTAACCTTTCTAGTGATACCTTCAAACACCTTCAGCCCTTTTGTGGTTGTGTTATCATCTTCTCAGCTTTGTAATCCATGGCAAAGTAAGGAAAAACTGTATCTTCTCTTAATTTGCTTTCAAGACCTCCCAGCAATCTGACATTTTTAAAGCTTATTTTATTTTCCAGTGAGCTCACTGTTACTTGGCATTCTGAGTTAGGGAAGTGTCCCATTCACTGGTTGCTATCTTCAGGTCTTCCATTCCCCTCTAATTCTCTGCAAGCTTAACTGAAGATCTGAAACCTTTTTTTCTTAGCCTGAATTACCACTAACCTCATACTAACACCTCAAGAGTTAACACAAAACAGGTATAGGATCTTATCCGCTGTCTCCTGCTTGTGCAAAAATGGATATTAGAAACAAAAAAAACTTAATTTTTTGGCACTATGAAGTTTTACTTGGTCTCTAAAATTATTAGAAATTAATTAAAAAACGTAAGTAACTCCAGGCATCAAAGTAACTGGACACAAAAACTGAAGAATAAAGGTATCCAATGTTCCCACAACGTATTTTCCAGCACCTCAGTGTATTTTCTGTGAAATTTGTAGAAACCAGAGAACAATAGTCACAAAGAAGAAATCCCAATTCTAACATTTGGAAAGTTGCAGTTTTCACCAGGGAAAACTTTGGGATAGGCTTTAACCAGTATCATTGTGACTTGAGCAGAAAACTAAAGAGTAAACACACTTTTTGGAAGAAGTGAATGAGACAGAACAGTGACCAGTTGCCTTCACAAGGAAGGGCAGGAGGTGTTGCAGCCCTGGTGCAGGAATATCACACATTCTCACAGCACCATCTCCAGGGCAGTGTATGAAAACGTGAGAGCCAGGACAGCAGCCCCTTCCCCCCTCTCCCCACTGAGGGAAGCAGCTGCTCCTTCCTGCCTGGGCCCTTGGCACATCAGTGGTTTCATCTGCCTGAAAAGTGACTGCAAAGCTACTTCTCACTTGGAGCTCTACCCCAGTCTGGCTCACCTCAGGTGACACATGAACTGCTTGTCAACACAAGAGAGGGGCACTGAGGAGGTGGGAGCAAGTCAATCTCCTGCTGGCAATGTAGTCACAAATCATTTTCTCCAGCTTCCCCTGGAGACAGGGGACAGGTTCCTGTAAATGGGGATTGAGAGCACAAACTCCTTCTACTTCCTATTCCTACCATGAGGTTATTGTTATAATGAATTACATAATGCAAGTTTGGAGCTACTTTGGAATTGGTTTGTGTACAACATATTCCAGCACACCCACAGCTGTGGTCAGCGCTCAGGGAAATGCATATTATGCCCACAGGACTGACTGCAACTCATGTCATGACCAGCTCTACCAGCTCCAAAACTGTCAGGGGACAAAGCATATTCATGGCTAAAGGCCTTGCAAAACAGAGAGAAGATTATTTGATAGGTGCTCTAATTGGATGATGACTTTTCCACATGGTTTGTCTGGGGAGTGCTGCAGTGCTGTTGCAGTGTGGCATCAAGTTAATTAGCATCTGCTGTATTGTTGGGCCTGTTGGACAAAGTTAGCACAGCACCTTTCATGAGGCACAGGTCTTTTCTATTGTGCTTTTCAGTAGTTGCCTTCTAATTCTGCAGAGAAATTCTGTAGTTTCCCATAACATACAGACACTTGAAGCTAGAAATTCAGGAGAGTGGATGTGGTTCAATGGGACATGGCTATTGGGACATACTAGTGAACCTGCAGGACAAACTCCAAGGATCAGGTACTGCTCCTAGTAAAGTTTTATCATCATTTCTGGTATCCAACACAACAGAAAGATTTTAAAATGTGCTCTAAGTGACCTAAAATAAATCTACTTTGAAAAAATTACCCTTTGTGTAAGAAAACTCCTTAGTTTCTCCCCTTTCCAACAGCATATACAGGACAGTTCCCAACTGAGTAAGCGACTGAAAAAAGCTGAGCGGAGTACCTGGGGATTTTCTTGGGGACCTGAGGTGGTGAGGAGTGGCTCGTTGTGCTCTGTTCAGAGCTGTCTGGAGGCTTTTCCTGCATGTCTCCTTTGTCTTTTGCCAGTGCCTCTGCGATGGCAGACTCCACTCCACCCTTGTGGGGCTGATCAGCCTTCGGTTCAGCCTGAGCCGGTTCACATCGGTACATGAAAACGATCGACGGCTTCTCGCTCGAGTCTGACTTGGCCTCGCTGAACCAGTGATGCCTCTGAACTGGAGGAGGGGGGAGCATGTGGATAACAGTGCCATCCAGACCCACCAACTTGCCTTTCTCCCTTTCCTTCTCTTTGTCCTCCTCATCGTCAGTTTTCCTGCGGCGGAAGAAGCTCTTGAAGGAGATCCAGCGCTTGGGCTTGGCGTCGGCCGCTCGGCGCCCCTCGGGGTGCAGGATGGACTCGGCCTCGGTCGCCCTGGTGGGGCTGGTGGGCTTGGTCCAGTTGCTGAAGTGCCTCTGCAGCAGGTTACTCGCGTGGTAGGGCGACGAGGTGGAGCGTGGCGGAGGGAACGGCGGGGGCTGCTC